CTCTGTCTCAAAAAAAAAGAAGAGAGTTATTTCTTTGGTTCTCACAACTAACCAAATTAACTTTTATGGGCTTACAGAAAAAAACAAAGCTGCTCGGTTGCCGTAGCTCAGTGGTTAGGTCACCAGCCACATACAGAGGCTAGCAAGTTTGAACTCAACCAGGCCTGCTAAATAACAATGACAACTGCAACAAAAAAATAGACAGGCATTGTGGTGGGTGTCTATAGTCCCAGCTTGGGAGGCTCAGGCAAGAGAATTGCTTAAGCCCAGGAGTTTGAGGTTGCTGTGAGCTGTGACACCACAGCACTCTACCGAGGGTGATATAGTGAGACTCTGTCTCAAAAAAAAAAAAAGAAAAAAAGAAAAGTTGTTTCACAAGCTGCTTTTCATGTGTTTATAGACTAAGAAGTGTGTGGTAGGTCCAGGGGTCAGGTTCTACTGATAAGTGTGCAGGAATTCAATGGAGCTTCAATTCTATGCTCATATTTTATGACGATAGTTTCCAGTAGAAAATCATTCAGCTAGTGAGAGAACTCAGTCACTGCCCAGCTTGATAGTATCATTTTACAGGTGACAAAATGAGCTAGAAGAGCATTTTCAAATTTGAGAATGAGAAAAACCCTCAAGTTTTATGTGACTAAAAAAAAAAAAAAAATAAAGAGAAAGAGAGAGAGAGAAGATTCAAATTACCAAAATCAGAAATGTAGGAAGGGACACCAACACTGACCTTACGTGAGTAGAAAGGATCATGGTGTACTATGAACAACTATAAACCAGCAAATTAGATAACCTTGATGAAACAGACAAATTCCTAGAAAGAAATAAACTATTGAAGCTAAACTCAAAAAGAAATGAAAGTCTGAAAAGATCTATAATAAGCAAAAAGATTGAATTAGTAACCAAAAACTTTCCACAAAGAAAAGTCCCAAACCAAATGGTTTCACTGATGAAGTCTATCAAGTGCTCAAAAAGGATATTATGCCAGTCTTATGCAAACTCTTCTTAAAACACTTAAAATACTGAAGAGAAAACACTTCCCAATTCATTCTATGAGGCCAGTATTACCTTGATACCAAAACCAGACAAAGACATTAAAAAAAAAAACCCCAAAAGGACAGACCAGTCTCTCATCTGAACATAGATGTAAAAATCTTCAACAACTCATAAACTAAACCAACAATGTATAAAAACAATTATACTCTAGCCTGGGCAGGAGAAAGAGAACTTGCCTCAAAAATAAATAAACAAAAAGAAAAAGGATTACATATCACAATCAAGTGGGAATTGTCCCAGGAATGCAAGGTTGATTCACCATATAAAAATCCAACACTGTGCTATGCCATGTCAATAAAACAGTATAAAACCTGGGGCGGTGCCTGTGGCTCAAAGGAGTAGGGCACCAGCCCCATATGCCGGAGGTGGCGGGTTCAAACCCAGCCCTGGCCAAAAACTGCAAAAAACAAAACAAAACAGTATAAAATCTGTGTGATCATCTCAACAGACACAGAAAGAGCATTGATAATATCCAACATGCTTTCATAATAAAAACAATCAGCAAACTCAGACTAGAAAGAAATGTCCTTAATATGATAAAAAAAAAAGCGATGAAATACTGACACATCCTACAACATGGAAGCATCTAGAAAACATGCTAAGTAAAAGAAGCTAGGCAGAAATGGTCACATGTTATCTGATCCCATTTATCTGAAATGCTCAAACCTATAGAGACAAAAAACAGATTAGTGGTTGACAGTGGCTATGGAGAGAGAGAAATGGAGAGTGTCTGCTAATAAGGATTTCTTTTTTTTTTTTTTTGAGACAGAGCCTCAAGCTATCCCCCTGGGTAGAGTGCCGTGGCATCAGGCTCGCAGCAACCTCCAACTCCTGGGCTCAAGCGAGGCTCCTGCCTCAGCCTCCCAAGTAGCTGGGACCACAGGCGCCTGCCACAATGCCCGGCCACTTTTTGGTTGCAGCCGTCATTGTTGTTTGGCGGGCCCGGGCTGGGGATTCGAACCCGCCACCTTTTGGTGTATGTGGCTGGCGCCTTAGCCGCTTGAGCCACAGGCGCCGAGCCAGGATTTCTTTTGAGGATGATCAAAATATTCTGGAATTAGTTGCACTATCTTGTGAGTACACTAAAAGCCACTGAATCCTATACTTTAAAGAAGGTAGGCAGCGCCTGTGGCTTTTAAGAGTAGAGTGCCCCCTGTGCCGGAGGTGGTGGGTTCAAACCCAGCCCCGGCTAAAAAAACTGCAAAAAAAAAAAAGGTAAGTTTTAGGCTGGGTGCAGTGGCTCATGCCTGTAATCCTAGCACTCTGGGAGGTAGAGGTGGGTGTATTGCCTGAGTTCACAGGTGTGAGACCAGCCTGAGCCAGAGCGAGACCTTGTCTCTAAAAATAGCCAGGTGTTGTGGAGGGCACCTGTAGTCCTAGCTACTTGAGAGGCTGAGGTCAGAGAATCACTTGAGCCCACGAGTTTGAGGTTGCTGTGAGCTAGGATGCCACTGCCTTCTACCAAGGGTGACAAAGTGAGATTGTCTCAAAAAAAAAAAAAAAAGGTAAGTTTTAGGATATGTAAATTAAATCTCAAATTAAGAAAAACACTTTGATGATATTCTGTCTAGAAGGTGGGCCTGGAGTTCTTTGTAGGTAGAATTTGAAGACTGCTGAGTTCTGTCCTGGGGGTGCTCAGGGTAGGGATCCAGTATAACCTTACCATGGATCATAAACTCCATGGACACAGCTTTGAAAATGGGCCTGCCCTATCCCAGGTAATCTATAGAGTAAGAAAGGTATAAACCCTATTGGAACATTCCTATTTCTTGATGTTATCTGTATGAAATTTAGGTCTGAGGTGGGGACTCTCTGTTCCATGTATCCTCTGTTAGTTTCTCTTTTGATATTATTTATGAGTAGGCTAGTACAATAGGAGGAAGAGGGTATGTAACTTCAGGAAGCCTGTTTATCTCGTGGGAAATGTGGAAGTTGGACATGTTAATCTCTTTTGTTTTTGTGATCCGGGGTAGGGTTGTACTGTTCTGCTGGTATTTCATGATGTTTTATAATTTACAACATGAATTCTGGCATGAATCTCATTTGCTATGAACTTGACCTCCATGTCATGAGGTGGGCAGTTTACAAATGGATAAACTAAAGGTTTGAGGGTGAATGGATCAGCAGGATCCTACAGTGAGTTACTGACATGACAAAAGGTTATCCCAGTCAGATAACCTCCCGACAGCTGGCTAGTACTTTTCCCACAGCACTAGGCAACTTAAGAGAAGAGATGCCTCCTGATTTTTTGACTTGAAAGAAGAGAATGAGCCAGAAGGTCTTTGGTGAAGGGCTCCTAACCTGTGTGAGAAGAAGATGCCTCTGCGCAGGAAGCGGTGTGGTCTTTGGCCAGTGGCTCTCTCTATTCGGTTTACCAACTCTTTGTCAATTTTACTGCTTCCAAATCGAACTGGAAAACAAATTGGAAAAAATAAGGGGTGACATCTTAGATGGCAGGGGGTTTCATGATCAGATATTACTGAAATGAAGGGGGAAGTGAGTAATCCACACCCAATCTTAATGAACCTAGCAACTTTTTTAGGCATTCTGCTAAAGTAAAAGGTCTGTTGTATTAAAATTGACAGCTAAGACTGCCACTAGCAAAACAGGAACTAAATTATAGAACAAAATACTATTTTGCCTGAGATTGGATTCTGGTGGAAAACGTTCCCAGAATGTAGTCTAGCTAGGAACTTTTGATGACCACATATACAAAAACATACATATTTGATACACATATATTTATTTTAAGGGAAAATTTGTATTTGCTGACAATGCAGATTTCTCACATTCTTTATTTGTTGAACTGAATTAATGTCTGTCTTTTTTTTTTTGGAGACAGAGCCTCAAGCTGTCCCCCTGGGTAGAGTGCTGTGGCTTTATAGCTCACAGCAACCTCCAACTCCTGGGCTCAAGCGAGTCTCCTGCCTCAGCCTCCCAAGTAGCTAGGACGACAGGCGCCCACCACAACACCCGGCTATTTTTTGGTTGCAGCCATCATTGTTGTTTTTTGGTGGTCCCAGGCTGGATTCGAATTCGCCACCTTAGGTGTATGTGGCTGGCACCTTAGCCGCTTGAGCCACAGGCGCCGAGCCTAATGTCTGTCTTTAAGTGAATTCTTCCTCATTGATAGTCTATACTCTCAAATCATGAAAAATAGCTTTGACTTATAAACATTTTCGTTTTCTTTTCTCTTTGATAATTAGCAAAGATCTCAGAGTAAAGACTTCTCAATCAAAAATGCCAGTGGTATTATGGTATTGCCTGAGTGTAGCAAGACCCTCAAGGGAGGGCTCCTGTTTTGTTTGTTTGTTTGTTTTTTTACAAGTAGTCTTTTATTTTTTATACCTATTATGCCATGAATTCATAGGGAATAGGTTCCAGCAGCTTAGCAGCTCGGGGTCCTTTTTATTGGCTGTCATAAAGCTTGCTATGTCTATTATGCCATGAACTCATAGGGGATAGGTTCTAGGACCTTATGTTCCCTTTCAAATGGTTCTGTTGGTTCTCCTGTGTGCTACACTGTACACCTATTATATCAAGAATTCATAAGGAATAGGTTCTAGTAGCACAGGCTCCTTTCCATTGGTTCTCACAGAGCGTGCTTCTCTGGATAGAGCAGACTGGAGCTTTAGGTGAACCCAAGTACCTTTCTCTTTGGCTTCCTTCTTTTTCTGATCATTTTCTTTAATGTGTTTTAGGAAGCTATCTTGGCTCTTAAGAGTGCTCAATATGAACATTAATCCTCTTGGCAAAAATCTGGCCCTTAACTTGTTTGTTAACAATAATGCCAACAGCATGCTGGGTTAACACTGTAAACTCTTCCAGTTTTGCCCTGGTAACATCTGTGTGGCATGCCTTTTTGACCAGTATCCATTCCCTTGTTGTCTACATCACCTTTCTTGTAGATCTGCATGTATGTGGCCAAAGGAACAACTCCGCATTTTCTAAAAGGCCTAGAGAACATGTTATCAGGTACCTCGCCTCCATCCCTTTGGGTTTGTCATTTTGGTGAATTACTAGAAGATGGTGTTTCCAACCAAAAAACAAGGAAGGGCTTCTTGACAGTGAGGACCCTTCTTTAGCTGACCTCCAGGTTTCTAGCTCTATAATCAATATCACTGGAGGCAAAAGCTTAAGTAATCCATTATTGACTTGTAACTGCTAAATGGTTTAAATGACTATAAATATGCCTGTTTTGATAGCCCTTTCCTAAGTTCTAAACTGTTTTTTTTAAAAAAGGAAAAAACTTCTGATAATCTATTATTGATTTATTATTATTATTTTTTTTTTT